AATTAGACGCCTCACACGATCATACCTCGGTTACAAGAGGCCGGATAGGCCTATACGTAGTAAATGTTACCTTGCTTGGCTTTCTACATCGACTTTCTTTCGTAGTAAGTATAAAAGGTAAAGACCCGGGGTTTGTGTTAGTGATAGCTGTAAAACATATCAAAACTGCAGGAACCTGAAAATGTATTACTTAACATACGCAGATCAACAAGTGATGAACTAGCTAACAGATCAAAGGTCACAAGAGCATACAAGCTGTACTCATCATTAGATTTGTTTGTGTTAATCAACTCTACATTACAATAATGTTAAAAAATAAATAAGTCTATCGGTTCCAATATTACATTTTTATTTATTTATTTATTTGTTTGATTTGTTCATTTTTAATAAATGGGAAGTTATAAGAGTTTCTTTTACCATAATAATAATCACATATTTTGCACACTGAAATTTAATTTTTCGTTTCATTTCTGTTGAATATACATGTATACGATTATTTCATATTGGTTTTCTCAATGAAGGGGCAGTTAGACAATATTTCTCATTTATACGTCTAATTATGTTCAAAAATAGACATGAAATGCATAAATCGACAAGATTTCTGTAATTACACATAAAGGGAGGTAACTATGTTATCTTTAGTAATCACTATTAAATCTACCACGTAAAATCCAAGATCGCTACTACATATTCATATGTAGTAACCACTGTCACGTGCGGATCTAGGCGAAACCAAGACAGTTATTAATCATGTATGATCACAGCCTCTGACTAAGAACGGTCTGGAAAATAGTAATGAAAAAAGGTATGCGTTACTAGAGAATTAGATATTGATTTCTTTTAAGTTAACTACATAGACAAACACAATTATACTCTAGTATGCGTAGATTTAGCTTTATGTAAATAATTATGCAGGAAGAAAATAAACGCATGTAGTTTAATTAATCGGGCGTTTCAGCGTACAGTGTGTTTGGTTTTTGTATTTTTGGAAGTACATGATCGTCCTACTTTACTTGGAGGTCACCTTGTCATTATAATCATGTACTTTTAGGCAGGTTAAGACACAGAAATTGACGTAAGTATGCTAGACATACAATACTACAGTAGCTGTGTTAGTGGTATTCCGGACTTCAGTACAGATGGTACAAAATAGAGTTTGGTGAGAACATTGTTAAGTCTTAAATATGACATTTAACGACAGAATTTTTGTACAAACGCACAGCCTTGAACATACACGTTCTCTGAAATAAACATCTAGCTTATATTATCGAGAAAACTGTCTAATGCATTAAATGTCCTGAATGACAACTAACCATGACGCTACAGACTATTAAGTAACAATTCTGTACATACGAGCCGAGTAAGTGTGACGGATAACGCGCAGAATATACATGTGTTGTACAGTTTACAGGTAAAATATAAGCATGTAGTTTTTAACTATCAGTTAGACATGTTGGTAAAGTGCTTATTGTTTTTATCTGTCCCTGGATGGCTTGTTATGATTTCCAGTGTAAATTCGTGTATGCTATCAATATTGCTCTTGAAAAGATACAATAATACCAGCATATAGGAAACAACCAAAGAACTCTTAGGTTCCCATGATACTTGTAATTAGTCCTTGCTTTCCTGTGTTTCTTCTGTTCCAATGATGTGTCAATACCTTGTTACGGCACGATTTCTCAACCCGACACGTTTTCTCATCCGGGTGACCGAGCACAAGGGGAAAACTATATAGTATCACTTTCAGACAACCGATTTTGACCAAATTTGTGTAATGTGTAATTGGTTATAATACCAATGTATAATATCAGCTAGGATCTCTCCATATTTGTATTTTTAAAACTGCGAAATAGACAAAAAAAACGGTCTCAATACCTTTTCAATATTGGACGAATTTTATAACAAATCAGAGTGCCACTTACAACCTGAAGAGATCTGTAACACATCCTAATGGGAAGGTCGTCACGACCTATTATATTAAACCTATATGAAACATGCATACATAAATCATAGGTGGCACTTAGGAATCGTGTGAATGATGTATTTGACATTATTGTAGTTGTTGATAGTTTGGGAAGGTATTTAAAATAAAGCGATGCCAAGCAACATCAACAAGGTAGATACAATATGTCAGATCTTTATGCATTACATGGATGTTTTTAAATTGTAAACATATCTTTACCTGTTTACTAATTCAAGATTTAATAACAAAGCCGATTAGATGTATCTCCTGGGCGTGGAAAACTATAAAATCTGTTTCAATACATTTCTCATGCATTCGTTATTTTTTTTTAAATAAGAAGATATTGATTTATCACATGTGACGGCACCACAGTGGTTTATTGAAAACAAATCCTTTGAAATGATATCAATTATTGATTTACAATTTTAAATATTAACTAAAAATCATTAACTATTAAATAATAATACTTATAACAGGAAAATGAATGTTAATGTACAAATATCATCTATTTGCAGCTTATACATGCTTTTAGATTCCAACAATATAATAGTCTCGTCTCCATAGTGCACAACTCCAAGAATGAACTTGTATTAAATCGCTTATAATAGTATACTATAGATAGTGTCACTCTCAATGCTATCGAATTCGAATATCCAACAGAATAGAAACATCACAATCAATATATAAACAGCAAAGTTGCATCATTAATTCGAATGTTTCAGTGTAAAAACTCAAAAGGATATAACATCAAGGTGACCGATTCCTCGACCTTTTTATAAAACGGGTCACCATTAAGTATACTGGTGTACTGTTTGCCAGCAGTCATTATCCCCCGTTACAGGTATAAGCTAGGTCACCATTATGTATACTGGTGTACTGTTTGCCCAGCAGTCATTCTCTACCGTTACAGGTATAAGCTGGGTCACTATTAAGTATACTGGTGTACTGTTTGCCCAGCAGTCATTCTCCACCGTTACAGGTATAAGCTAGGTCACCATTAAGTATACTGGTGTACTGTTTGCCCAGCAGTCATTCTCTACCGTTACAGGTATAAGCTGGCCATGGGTCACCATTAAGTATACTGGTGCACTGTTTGCCCAGCAGTCAATCTCTACCGTTACAGGTATAAGCTGGGTCACCATTAAGTATACTGGTGTACTGTTTGTCCAGCAGTCATTCTCTACCGTTACAGGTATAAGCTAGGTCACACAACTGAGCCACTCACCAACTCATGATTAAGGATATCTTGTGTTAACAATGAAATGTGATTTGCATGTTTAAATCATTTAACGTGCGGTGATCAGTTTTGTTGACACATAATACTTTTAACTCTCCATCCTCTTTAAAGAGAAGATAAGCGAACATTTGTATAGTCATGTTAATTGACACAATATTGGGTTACATCGAAAAGCTTATTGTTGTGTACACTGACAAAAAACTTTCGTGTGATATTCAAGTTCAGGATATAAAAGCTCGTTTGACATCACCTATGCCAAAATGCTTTAACTCTTCTTGTCTTAACTATCATAGACTGTACTATACATGTATGTTCATGCCTCAATTACTGATACCACCAGCAATCAAAAATGTTCATCATCTCGAACGAATTATAAAAGTGCTTCTTTAAGTCTCACAAATGATAATGTGCAAACATGTATATTATTAGTTAAACATATGCAGCTATTTTGGATAATCTACGACGCGCATGCGCAGTTTTCCCCTCCCAGGTGAACATTTTTTGACTACATTATGTTCAGAAAGGTCTTATATCTCGTTTTTAAAGCAAAATGAAAAAACATATGACTCTGATCATTTAGTTTTGCATTTGTTCTCTATACAGATACAAAATATTAGTTTTAAAATGAAAATTGGTTGTGACATAAGACATTTAAAATTTGTTGTGTCATAAGACATTTTTTGTTGAAAATACCACATGAAAAACGTTCATAGTCTTACTTTTAACAAAACGGAAAGGCTGATTTGACAACTTAAATGTCAAATGAAAGCGTTATTATGTACAATCTGATTAAAATCATCTGCTATATGGCTCCGCCTGAACATCTGAGTGTGCCGCGGTCAGGGTCACGTTCAGGTGACCTGTATATTTATAAATACTCATTAAATTTTGACCAATCAGAAAGATAGTTTTATTAAAGAGGAAAGACTGTATGGCGGTGTTGCCTACGCAAAATATTACCCAATGGGTACGTTTTCCTTGGCGTCGTAGAAACGTCAGTTCCCGCCGCCATATTTGTTTTGGAAAACTAATCTGTTCGATACCCCCCGCTATTTATCTATCGACCATGATATTCCGATTCAATGGCAAACTTTTGCCAGCGCGCCTCTGATTGGTTCATCTGAAGGTCTCTAGAACGTGACCCTGACCGCGGCACATTCAGATGTTCAGGCGTAGTACGACGTTAACGAAACCATGTAACATATGATTTTAATCAGATTTGTTTATGTACAAATCTCAAAATGTATGCTTCTGACACTAAAGTATAGGAAGTTTTTAACACATGATGTGAAATTAAAAAAATCTTTGATAAAAAATGGGTGTGTCAGTTTGAGGTGAAAAATATGCATAATTGAAGTTCTCTGAAATTGTCTCAGTCCCGACGCTGTACAGGTAAACAAGCCTTGAAACAAGTTCATCGATACGTACAACACGGACTGCTAAAACATTGATACAGATAGCTATCTAACGTTCGTGGTTACATATTGATAATACAAATTTGATCATTAGATGTCGAACCAATTAGTTAAAATAAAACAATTACTTATACATAAAAAAAAAAATGCCTGTACTCCAAACCGATTTGAGAGATTTGTCGTCGCCCTAGTCTTCGCTTTCATTGCTATGCTGATGACACACAAATTAACATGGTCATCAAACCACAAGACAGTTGGGATACAGTTTCAGAACATCTGGAAGCTTGTCTGACAGATATCAGTACATGGATGAACGCTAACATGCTAAAACTCAATCCGGAAAAGACGGAACTAATCGTCTTTTCCCCCAAAATGTCAGCACACAATGGCTCTCCAGCTCAAAGTCGGTGCCAAAACTATTGAGACTGTTCCAGCTGTTAAAAACCTAGAGGTATACTTTAATACTTCACTGAACATGGAGAAACAAGTGAACGCTATTGCCAAATCTTGTTACTACCAGATCTGGAACATCGGCTGTATTTGGCAGTTTATTACTGAAGATGCATGCAAGATTTTGGTGCATTCACTTGTTACCTCCCGGTTGGATTAAAGGGGCATCACGCTGAAGTAAAAAAAAAATTGTCTTTTTTCCAAATACTACATAAACATATCAAGTGAGACTCCTTATGGAAAATGCCGATCGGATTTGGCTGAAATAGATTCATAAAAATGATTAAATCTAAGATAATCATCGGTATTTCTACCTGTCTGACCAACGTTTTGTTCAGGGATTTCCCTCTACTAGCGCATGCGCATAGCACACCATTTCTTTGTAAACAAAATGACTGGCCGTGTGAAGTAAGCCAAAGAAAAGTGTTGTACCGTGTCAGCTACGAAGCGAATAGTTGCCAAATGGTCAAAAGATAGCGCAAGGGGTACGTTACGGAATCATTATTGCCAGTGGGAAGTATTCAAAGCAGAAAATAACTGCCCTAGCAGTCAGTACGGTGCATGTTTTCTTCCGGATAGCGGCCGGTTAAGCTGAAATAAAATCGACAGAAATGCTAGCGCTGTTTATGTTATGAATAAATATCTAAAACTATTAACCTCGCTAGTATCATTGTGTGAGTTTGAACACAGATGAACTTAGTTTAATATGTTAATGGGCATGTATCGGAGAGAGTTTACTTTGTGTTTTTTATAATTATACAGTGGTTTATGCAAACGAAAGGGATAAGTGACTGGTTAGTTTGATTTTGCCATGAGGCCCCCCAAGGGATAACTGCTGTGATGGCCACGGCGTATTCTGTTCTCTGATCCTCTGTCGGTGCTCGGGGTCAAATGAGATACGTGCGCTATTAGATTTACATAATTTATAATATTACCGGGATCAGTAAAATGGTATGATTTAATTATATTGCTGAATTAAACGATTGTTTTTTGTTTTGACATGCAAGTTTTAAATTAGTACTAATATAATACCCGGCCTGCCCTGGCGCGACGACGCAATATATAAAAAAAAAATCGCTCTTCGTCAGAAAGCTACGTTATCGCAGCTAGATTAAAAATGTCAAAATGACGGACCAGGATGAATAACTGAGGAAGGAGAACCTACTTCTAGTAAATAGGATCGCATAACACTTTTTTTTTAAATCGTAATTTTTCAACAGTTCATGTTTTCATATGATGTTGACTTAGAATGTATGATCATGTAACAACCTTTTCTCTATAAAGAATAAATTTTCGACTTCAGATAGAATCGGAATACGTATTGAAAACAGGGGAAAAAATATTTGATTACGTTATAAAAATGGCGCGTGCTGCCGATAACTACGGCTTCTGTTTCGGACCAAAGGAACTGATTAAAGAAAAGTTGTCTCAGCATAAAAAGGTCCATTTAAAAGTATGCTTTAATCTCTGTAAAGTATTGAAAAAATATAATTATCAAGTATCTCAACACGTTCCTTATTGACACATATTCTACATGTACACGTAGTGGTTTTGCCATACAGTTTATTGTGTGTGATGGTTAATATGACTTCCTAAATGTTAGCGTTTGGAGACAGTGAAAGTGGGAAAGAGAGTATACATAGATTTATATTCATGGTCTAGAAAAAAAATGGCCAAAGACATTGAGTTGTTTAATGTAATAAATAAATTCACAAACGTTTCCTTTTTATATTCGCGTGTAGTTTGTCATTGCATATATGCACTTTATGTAAACATTTGAAAAGGGATATTCGTCTCGTGAATATTCCTTTTTACAGAAAGGTTTGTCCCATTGTTGAGGGAGTGTTTAGCCCCGTACCACCTGTACCGGTCACGGGAGAAGGCTGTGATAAATTGTAAAAACTTGTGCCCCATCCTTTGTTTAATTTTATTGGCAACAAATTTATGTTAAAAGCTAAATAAATTTAAATTCTTAATATTGGCAAGTGTGCAATTAACTTCTGATGATGAATAATTACTGTTCAATAAGTTTGAATACGGAATTAGAAATCATATAACTTGGTTTCATAGTGCGGTAAGAAGTTGCAGTTGCCTGACGGCCCCTCTCTGAGGGCCCCTTTGTAAACCGTTTCATCTCGCTCGCACCACTTGTGTTTGCTGCCTAATCAGGTGACGTTATCGGCGCTATTTTTAGCCGGGCTTTCCCGAACAATTCAAGTGGTCAAACTGGACATTTGGAACGGACTATGAATATGGGGATAGCGAGGTAACATAAGTGGAAGTGCATACAATACATACATTCATTAAAAAAAACGCCTTTTCACGTGATGTCCCTTTAACGCCCTGCTCTGTGGTATATCTGACAAACTAACTAGTCGTCTGCGGAGGGTCCAGAACACTGCAGCACGGCTGGTTATTCGTACTCGAAAGAGAGAGCACATCACACCTGTGCTATATTCATTGCACTGGTTACCTGTACGATACAGGTCGCAGTACAAAATGTTGGTGTTAACATGCAATGCCTTAAATGGAACAGCTCCTCAGTACCTACAGGAGCTTGTTACCCTGTATCAGCCGTCATGATCACTGCGGTCGGAGTCAAAATCATTGTTGTGTGTCCTAAAAATCTCGTACGGTGACCTATGGAAACCGGTGCTTTGGGAGGGTTTCGGCTACGTTGTGGAATAGCTTACCATCTGCTACTAGAAAGTCAAATACCTTGTAGGTACTGAGGAGCTGTTCCATTAAGTGCCCTGTATGTGTACACCAGAATATTGTACTGCGACCTGTATCGTACAGGTGACCAGTACAACGTATAAAGCACTGGTGTGATGTGCTCTTTCTTTCGAGTACGAGTAACTAACAAGTGAATGTACCAAAATCTTGCATGCATCTTCAGTTAAAAACTGCCGAATACAGCCAATGTTCGTCATCTGGTAGTAACAGGATTTGGCAATAGCGTTCACTTGTTTCTCCATGTTCTGTGAACTATCAAAGTATACCCCTAGGTTTTTAACAGCTGGAACAGTCTCAATAGCTCTGGCACCGACCTTGAGCTAGAGAGCCATTGTTTGCTGACACTCAGGGACAAAAGACGATTAGTTCCGTCTTTTCCTGATTAAGCTTAAGCATGTTGGCGTTCATCCAGATACTGATATCTGTCAGACAAGCTTCCAAACTTTCTGAGACGATATTCCAACTGTCCTTTGGTTTGATGACCATGTAAATTTATGTGTCATCGGCATAGCAATGATAGCGAAGGCTATGGCGACGACAAATCTATCCAATCGGTTTGGAGTACATACAATATTTTCGTGGTCCTAACACCGACCCTTGCGGAACCCCGAAATCTAGTACTTTGTCATGTGAGGTGGAAGATCCGATGGCAACACACTGTCGTCGTTCACTCAGTTAAGACTGTATCCAGCATCGTGCGGTATCAGTCACTCCATAAGAGTATTCCAGACGTTTATAAAGTATGCCATGGTCGATGACGTCAAATGCAGCTGACAAGTTCAGCATGACAAGCACCGCTCTGCACTTGTTATCCAATGCAGAAGCTATATCATTATGTACACGTAGGAGGGCCGTCTCAGTAGAGTGTCCCATGCGGTAGGTCGATTGCATGTTGTCATGGAAACTGTTTGCATGGAGATGAACCTATAAACGCCGGGACACAACCTTCTCCAAGATCTTAGACAGAAAAGGCAGATTTGAACCTGGGCGGTAATTTTTCAACTCCCCCTTGTCCATTTCAGGCTTCTTTAACAATGGTCTTACATGTGCCTTCTTGAAACATAATGGACCCTTTGACTCAGCCAATGATTTGTTCATGATTGAGGTAATCAAAGGAAGCAGTGCTTCAAGGCATTGCTTTCATAGGTCTGTAGGCAGTGGATCAAGCTCACAGGACTTTGATTGCGAGGTCATGATAATGTTGCGCAACTCGTCCTGGGTTGTTGGTGAGAGTTTTGCAAATGGTTCCCCATCAAATGCAATGTCAGCAGTCATGACAGAGATGTCAATGTCAGCAGAGGTGTTCACTTCGGCAATAATTTTCCTGATAGAGTTGATTTATCCCACTACCAGTGTCATTCCAAAATTGTCTAAATTCTTTGTTGACTTCATGCAAATTTAAGAGCATCAAAGCTGTTTTTGCTAACAGGTTGAATCAAGATTAAGTTGTTCACAACAATTTGTTCAAGCATGTTCTCTGTATGTACATGGTAAATACCCGGCGACTCAAGCTAATCTGTGTGAGAAATCGTGCTGTAATGAGAATAGAGCGCAATGTCATAATTATACTTATATCACAAGGTATTTATAAAATAGAGCGCAATGCCATAATTATATTCATCCGATCATGTATGAAATAATAAATCTAGACAAAAAATATATAAACTTTTATTAACAATCAACAACATCGAATCCATTTTTTTTTCAGAAGTTTTGGTTTTTCCCCCGTACGCCGTGACGCCAACCAGACATTCGAGGTCGCAGCAGCCGATTGGTCATGATTTAACATCGCGGTGACTGCCGAGTAAGTCACGAATACTGTTACAGTGTAACATGCTACATACGTGCAGAATAATCAAATTCATTCCATAAAATGGTCGCTAACGCTTTACTTGTAATTTTACAACTCGGCTTTATGTTTAAAGTAATTATTCATGAATACATTTTATCTCTTAACAGGCTGAACGCTTCTTTTGATGTCAGGAACATCAGTGGGATTGACGACGACACACTAGAAGGGACTTTTGATCTCCCCGATCGGTCTCAGGACAACCCTCCAATTGTCGAGCGGAAGTGTCTGTTATTAAATTGTATATGAATATTTGTAATGTTATTATCAATTATTCAAGAGATAATAACTTGTTTTTCCGCATCTTAACATTGTAAATTTGTAATTTTGCAGATCACTTGATGATGTTGTACCCACCGACTCGTCTTGGGAGACCAGTCCGTCCGTTTCGAGATTGTGGTGGAGGGATCCAACAAGCGCCGCCGGAAGCTTGTTAGTTCCGATGGCTTTGCCTACACCGTCAAGGTACCTTAAAAAAGGTGTCACAAAAAACATATTTTATCTGGGCTTTTTACACAATATATATTAAATAAACTATCGAGTTATACATACGAATTTCTGATGTTCTATTATCTAAAGCCTTACATCTTTTATTTACAGACCGTGACCAACAGGACATGGAGGTTCAGCATCAGAAACAAGACAATCTGGTGTCGGGCAACCGTTCTTCAGAGAGGAGACTCCTTCATTCCTGGTTCCTGCGACCACGTGCATGCGCCAGACAACCTTATTGTCAACCGAGTGAGGATCGATACTCATGTATACATATTAAAAGGCTATAGTCAAATTAACATGATATTCATTAAACTTATTCTTTATATTTCAGTTGAATGTCTAAATCATGCATAAAAATGAAATGCATAGTACTGATCGTTATATAATTGTTCATGTTATTATTTTGCAGGTGAAGGACTCCGCTCTTGCAGATATTCACAGATCGGCAGGAAGCATCGCAGAGGCCGTTTTGTCCGAGCAGCTGGACCACAACTACTTCAACCTGCCCCGACCCGACTACCTGGCTCGTGCTGCCAACCGCCTACACCAGAACCTCCGGCCACGGGATCCGAAGGACCTTGACTTCGAGGTAAATTAACCGAACGGACATACAAAGTCATTTTTTCTTACAATTGTCTGTATATAAGATATAAAAATCTATTCCAACAAAAAAGCAATAGCGATAAAAATAGTGATAAAAATTCATATATATGAATATTTTTCTAATTGCAGATAGACCATGGTTTCCTTAGGTGCCCAGAACTTATTATCGGAGACGTCCACGTCGACAATCAGCGCCACATCCTGTTTGCTACGGAGCAACAACTGTCCCTCCTCAGACAATCCAGGCGCTGGTATCTGGACGGAACGTTTGAGGTAAGTCATGAGCATAACCCTGGGTATGAGGATAAGATAAATTATGATAGCTAATTATAAACTTGAAGATATATATTTATAGAATGACACACGCTGTCTCAATTCGTTACAGAATAACAGCATAATTCTCATTTTGAATTTATTTTAATAGGTACGGAAGGATCCCTTCAAACAGCCATGCTCCGTACATGCATTCCTTCAGAAGGACGACTCATGCAAGCAGGTTCCGCTGGCCTTCACCCTGATGTCCAGCCGGAGGACGCAGGACTACGAAGCTGTAAGTAATTGGTCATTAGATAAAACAATATATATCATTGACTTTCTGATATTCTGATATAGTTTGTTCGACATTAGTAGAATTTTAGTAATTCAAATCATCACATTGTTGGTACATGTACTTTAATTCACACCATTATAAACGAAAATAACCTTTCGCATGTGTAGTCTTTTCACTTGTAGGTGTTCCGGAAGCTGAAGGAGTGCCTTGGTGGTCAGCCAGCTGTTCAGGGCTTTGTAATGGATTTCGAGTCAGGTAGGTTATAATATTCAAAATTTTGAAAGATTGATCTTAACAACGGAAAAAATGATATTTATATATATATTCGTATAAGATCATGCCGAGATCACATAATCATATGTTTATATGTTTTAAATGTATCAATTCCATTACAGCCTGTTGGCCAGTAGTGATGACCGTCTTCACTGGAGCAGAGCTGAAGGAGTGTTCGTTCCACTGGGCTCAGGCCGTTCTGAGGAAGGTTGGCAGTCTTGGTCTGCGGCCAACGTATGACCAGCGACAGGGTAAGTCCATATTAATTTGTATTCTTTTTATAAATTTCAGAAAATGATTCGTCATTTTTCTTTGAAACAAAAAGTAAAAAAATAAAGATAGATATTTATATATTTATTTCCATTCAATGATACATATCAAATATCGAGCTACTAAATACTTATAATGTGATTTTTTTAATTTTTGTTTGTAGGAGTACACCAGTATGTGAAGCAGGTCCTGGCCTTACCCTTCTTACCTTCCGCACAGATTGAGCCGGCATTGCATAGCCTCAGAGTGACTGGATAAAAGTATGTAAATAATAACTACACGCACATGTCATACACGCATTTACATTATCTTTAACTTTATCTGTTACAGGTTGGCATCATAGATTGAACGGCATAGCGGTACAGGCCAATTTGCCGTTCTACATCCTGGTTCCTCTGCTCCTGAATGAGACTGGTGTCCGAGTCTTCACTACAGAAGAGGCACCAGAGGACGACTTACCGCCGAATCCAGGGAAGGTAGCGGAGCTGTGGGACCAGTATGACCAGGATGCCATCTCCACCTCGGCGTTCCTGAAGAGGGTGGGGCACGTCTATGCACCGAGGGCGACGGCTGACCAGCAGTTTTATATGTACAGTTTTTACGGATTTGGACATTTATGGTTTTGTAATTTAAAACATTGCATTAAATATGGACCTTTTTTTTATAATGAAATCTCGGAAATAACTTCGGCAGACTAAATTTGTGTGGCTCTTACGGAGGGGGGCTGGCTCCACGTGGCAAGAGCTGGGCAACAACAATGTATGCATTGTTGGCTGACACCCTCTATTTATATTCACTAAACATAAATAACAATTACCTTATTGGAAATAAATTGAATGCTAACTTCAATCAAATTGTATATCACGATTTAAAAGGTAGGGCCGTGTTTACAGTAGGGCCGTTGATTCGTCACACAGACCATCTTATGACCGTTTGTATATGTTGGACCTGTACGTGTACAGGTGTATGAAAATCCTAGACAGGCGTTAGCCAGAGGGCCAATCGATGATCGATATCATCAGAGTCAATACCGTTACATGAACTCAAATGATTGATACTGCTGTCACTACTTCTGTTCCTAAATAACATAGAAATAGTAGACGGGGTTGAACGTATTTAGGGGTACTGTAAGTATGAAGCACCGATTCACAACTTGTAATGGCAGAAAGCCAAACAAATTAACTATTTTACCCCACTAATATGGCCATATTGTCCAGTTACATGTATGACTCATCTGTCAAAATGTGAAATGTGAATATCAATGTAAAAAGAAGATGCATATACTCCATATTCACAATACTTTACTGCAACAGATAGTATATACTTAATTCGGTATTTCATCTAAACTAAGAATGAATTCCGCCAGCAGCACTACCGCTAACATCAGGGACTGATAGACCAGTTACAAGGCTGCGGCTAACCTAGGGGACTGATAGTCCACTAGTAGGTTCAAGGGTACGGCAAATCTTGGGAACTGATAGTACACTAGTAGGTGCACGGTTACGACTAGTCTCTGAGACTGATAGTCAACTAGTAGGTACCAGGCTACTGCTAACCTCTGGGACTGATGTTCCACTAGTATGTACAGAGACGTATTATACGTCTCTGGTATGTACAAGGCTACTGCTAATCTCTGGGACTGATAGTCAACTAGTATGTACAAGGCTACGACTAGTCTCTGGCACTGATAGTCCACTAGTAGGTACCAGGCTACTGCTAACCTCTGGGACTGATGGTCCACTAGTAGGTACAAGGCTACGGCATATCTTGGGGACTGATAGTACACTAGTAGGTGCACGGTAACGACTAATCTCTGGGACTGATAGGCCACTAGTAAGTACAAGGCTACGGCTAATCTTTTGGGCTGATAATCCAATGGTAGGTGCAAGGCTACAGCTAATCTCTGGGGCTGATTGTCCACTAGTAGGTACAAGGCTGCGGCTAATCTCTGGCACTGATAGTCCATTAGTAGGTTCAAGGCTGCGGCTAATCTCTGGCACTGATAGTCCACTAGTAGGTTCAAGGTTGCGGCTAACCTCTGGGACTGATGGTCCACTAGTAGGTACAAGGCTACGGCTAATCTTGGGGACTGATAGTCCACTAGTAGGTGCACGGTTACGACTAGTCTCTGGGACTGAAAGACCACTAGTAAGTACAAGACTACGGCTAATCTCTGGGGCTGATAGTCCAATGGAAGGTGCAAGGATACGGCAAATCTCTGGCACTGATAGTCCACTAGTAGGTGCACGGTTACGACTAGTCTCTGGGACTGATAGTCCACTAGTAGGTACAATTCTACGGCTAATCTCTGGGACTGTTAGTCCACTAGTAGGTACAAGGCTACGGCTAATCTCTGGGACTGATAGTCCACTGGTAGGTGCAAGGCTACGGCTAACCTCGGGGACTGATAGTCCACTACGGCAAATATCTGGGACTGATAGTCCACTAGTAGGTGCAAGGGTACGGCTAATCTCTGGGACTGTTAGTCCACTGGTATGTACAATGCTACGGCTAATATCTGGGACTGATAGTCCACTATTAGGTACAATTCTACGGCTAATCTCTGGGACTGTTAGTCCACTAGTACATGTAGGTTAAAGGCTACGGCAAATCTCTGGGGCTGATTGTCCACTAGTAGGTACAAAGCTACGGCAAAATTCTGGGACTGATAGTCCACTGGTAGGTACAAGGCTACGGCAAATCTCTGGGACTGATAGTCAACTAGTAGGTACAATTCTACGGCTAATCTCTTGGGCTGATAATCCAATGGTAGGTGCAAGGCTACAGCTAATCTCTGGGGCTGATTGTCCACTTGTAGGTACAAGGCTGCGGCTAATCTCTGGCACTGATAGTCCATTAGTAGGTTCAAGGCTGCGGCTAATCTCTGGCACTGATAGTCCACTAGTAGGTACAAGGTTGCGGCTAACCTCTGGGACTGATGGTCCACTAGTAGGTACAAGGCTACGGCTAATCTTGGGGACTGATAGTCCACTAGTAGGTGCAAGGCCACGGCTAACCTCGGGGACTGATAGTCCACTACGGCAAATATCTGGGACTGATAGTCCACTAGTAGGTGCAAGGCTACGGCTAACCTCGGGGACTGATAGTCCACTAGCATGTTCAAGGGTACGGCTAATCTCTGGGACTGTTAGTCCACTAGTATGTTCAAGGGTACGGCTAACCTCGGGGGCTGATAGTCCACTAGCAGGTGCAAGGCCACGACTAACCTCGGGGACTCATAGTCCAGATACAAGGTTACAGTCAACCTCGGGTACTGATAGTCCACTACGGCAAATATCTTGCTAACCTCTGGGACTGATGGTCCACTAGTAAGTACAAGACTACGGCTAACTTCAGGTTCTGATAGTCCACCTACAATACTACGGCTACCCACAAGGACAAGCCATGACCCATCTATTAGATTACGGCTAACCCCTCAGACTGTTAGTCCAGCTTCAAGACTACGGGGACTGATAGTCGACTAGCATGTTCAATGGGGGGGTGGGGGGGGGGGGGGCTGTGAGTCCACTAGTATGTCGAAGGGCTCGCCTACTCTATGGGACTGATAGACCACTAGTAGGTACAATGCTACGGCTAATATCAGGTGCTCATAGTCCACCTACAATATTACGGCTAACCTCTCAGACTGATAGTCCATCTACAAACTACGGCCAAACGCGGTAATGATGCATGATAGCCCGTCTCCAAGACTACGGCCAAACTACGGCTAACCTCTGGGACAGACTGATAGTCCATCTATAGTCCACTGGTAGGTGCAAGTCTACGGCTAACCTCGCGGACTGATAGTCCGCTACGGCAAATATCAAGGCTGCGGCTAAACTCTGGGACTGATAGGCCACTACGGCAAATATCTTGCTAACCTCTGGGACAGACTGATAGTCCGTCTACAAGACTAAGGCCAAACGCGGGAACTGATGGATTATTGTCCGCCTACAAGACTACGATCAAACGCGGGAACTGTTAGTCCGTCTACAAGACTAAGGCCAAACGCGGGAATTATTAGTCCAGCTGCAAGACTACGGCCAAAAGCGGGAACTGATGGATTATTGCCCGTCTACAAGACTAAGGCCAAACGCGGGAATTATTAGTCCAGCTGCAAGACTACGGCCAAACGCGGTAATGATGCATGATAGCCCGTCTCCAAGACTACGGCCAAAAGCGGGAACTGATGGATTATTGTCCGTCTACAAGACTACGATCAAACGCGGGAACTCTAACTCCAGCGACAAGACTACGGCCAAACGCGGGAACTGATGGATTATTGCCCGTCTACAAGACTACGCTCAAACGCGGGAACTGATAGCTTATCTGAAAGACTACGGCTAACTTCAGGTTCTGATAGTCCACCTACAATACTACGGCTACCCACAAGGACAAGCCATGACCCATCTATTAGATTACGGCTAACCTCTGGGACTAATAGTCCACTGGTAGGGTCAAGGTTACGGAAAATATCTGGGGCTGATTGTTCACTAGTAGGTACAAAACTGATGTTCCACTAGTATGTACAATGCTACGGCTGATATCTGGGACTGATAGTCAACTAGTAGGTGCACGGGGACGACTAGTCTCTGGAACTGATAGTCCACTAGCAGGTGCAAGGGTACGGCTAACCTATGGGACTGATAGTCCACTAGTAGGTACAATGCTACGGCTAATATCTGGGACTGATAGTCCACTATTAGGTACAATTCTACGGCTAATCTCAGGTGCTCATAGTCCACCTACAATACTACGGCTACCCACGAGGACAGGCCATGTCCCATCTATTAGATTACGGCTAACCTCTCAGACTGATAGTCCAGCTACAACACTATGGCTAATCTCACTGACTGCTAGTCCGGTACAAGACAATGGCAAACCTGGAGGACTGATAATCCACCTACAACACTACGGCTAACCTCTGGGACTTATAGTCCAATAGTAGGTACAAGACTACGGCTAACTTCAGGTTCTGATAGTCCACCTACAATATTACGGCTAACCTCTGGGACAGACTGATAGTCCATCTACAAACTACGGCCAAACGCGGGAACTGATATTATCGCACCTCGGACAAAGATTTCCCACGCCATACCACATGCTAGATTTTTCTATCTCGTCCGATCTGTCTTGTACCTTTACGTGTCATTTCCCGGAATGTTTACACTGCGATGTATTCATCCGCGCGTTAACTGCTTGAAATTGACAATTTGCATTAAAAATGTTCCGTTTTGTCGTTATATGTATAGTTTATATTTTGTTAGATATTTGATGTTGTACATAAAATATAATCTATACTATGAAATACGTTGTAATCTATGTAAGGACCGACTACATTTTTTACGCGTAAGCATTCAAATGTAGCTTAAGCAGCGAAGAGGTCATTATTATTTGAGGCCTAAGGCGGGATACTTGTATTTTTTATCAAAATTGAATAGTTCTTTTCAAACTAAAAGGTGCGAGAAAAAAATTAATTACCTGTAACTGAGCTAGATCGGGTTATCTCAGTCGAGGTTTAAGAATCTGTAACATCCAAACCTCGGCTTACGTCTCGGTTGGGATTTTGTCACAGAATTTTAAACCTCGTCGACTGAGATAACCTGATCTCGCTCAGTTACAGGTAAAATATTTTATTTGTCCATCTACATGTAAAAGACTACGGCTAACCTGGGGGACAGACTGATAGTCAATCTACAAGACTACGGCCAAACGCGGGAACTGATAGCTCATCTGAAAGACTACGGCTAACCTTTGGGACTGATATATATAGTCCCCCTACAATATCGCGGCTAACCTCGGGGACAGATATTCCAGCTACAAACCTACGGTTCACCTCGGGGACAGACTGATAGTCCGTCTACAAGACTACGCTCAAACGTGGGAAGTGTCAGTCCAGCTACAAGACTACGGTCAAACGCGGGAACTGTTAGTCCTGTTAGTCCAGCTTCAAGACTACGGTCAAACGCGGGAACTGTTAGTCCAGCTGCAAGACTACAGCCAAACGCGGGAATTGTTAGTCCAGCTACAAGACTACGGCCAAACGCGGGAACTGATAGTCCGTCTACAAGACTACGGTCAAACGCAGGAACTGTTAGTCCAGCTACAAGACTACGGCCAAACGCGGGAACTGTTAGTCCGTCTACAAGACTAAGGCCAAACGCGGGAATTATTAGTCCAGCTACAAGACTACGGCCAAACGCGGGAACTGATAGTCCGTCTACAAGACTACGGCCAAACGCGGTAATGATGGATGATAGTCCGTCTACAAGACTACGGCCAAACGCGGGAACTGATGGATTATTGTCCGTCTACAAGACTACGATCAAACGCGGGAACTGTAAGTCCAGCTACAAGACTACGGCCAAACGCGGAAACTGTTAGTCCGTCTACAAAACTACGGCCAAACGCGGGAACTGTTAGTCCAGCTTCAAGACTACGGTCAAACGCGGGAACTGTTAGTCCAGCTACAAGACTACGGCGAAACGCGGGAACTGTTAGTCCAGCTACAAGACTACGGCGAAACGCGGGAACTGTTAGTCCAGCTTCAAAACTACGGCCAAACGTGGGAACTGATAGTCCGTCTACAAGACTACGGCCAAACGCGGGAACTGTTAGTCCGTCTACAAGACTACGGTCAAACGCGGAAACTGTTAATCCAGCTTCAAGACTACGGCCAAACGCGGGAACTGATATTCCGTCTACAAGACTACGGCCAAACGCGGGAACTGTTAGTCCGTCTACAAGATAACGGCCAAACGCGGGAACTGTTAGTCCAGCTTCAAGACTACGGCTTAACGCGGGAACTGATAGTCCGTCTACAAGACTACGGCCAAACGCGGGAACTGATAGTTCAGCAGCAGTCAACTACCTTGTTACGTGAAATAATTTCTAGAAATTCGAATAAATGCAGCAGTTATTTGAAAAACATGTATGCAGATGTAGAAGCCAAAGCAATCTTCTAAACTAACAAATTATAGGCTTGTGGTGTTACACCATTTACTGTGTGATCAGTAGTCTGGATGTAGATGTATTACCTGAAATAAAACACATCCGTATCATCGCCCAGGCGTTTCCGCCACGCTGCAACATATATCTTCTCCCTTCACAAATCGATTGATGTTGCTTCCTTACAATACAAGCATGAATATTTAATCGTTAATCAAGCCCAAGCGTCGTCTTATTAAAGTAAATTAATGAAATAATGCATCATAAATATGTGTGTTTTTTCAATTTGTTTAATAAGCAAGAAAAGACAAACCCCGAATTTGCTCCAGGTGCAGCCTAAAAGAGGAGCGTTGATAGAGCAGTGTGATACGTAAAAGAAACTACAGTTGTATAGTGAAAATGATACTACTGTGCAGACTCCGAAAGAAAGGTAAAGTGAATGTCAAAGGGACTCCGAAAGTGTCTCAATGGATCTAAACAACTACATAATTAACGGGGAACTAATTAGGTGTAGCACATCAAAAAATCTAGTTACATATCATGAGGGAAACTGCGATGTTCTAACATGATTAAATATAAAGTAACTTCTATTAATATTAAAGTATTTCAATTGAAACACCGTACTGTGAAACAAAAGACTTGTCTCGACAATAAACAAATCAAAATTGATAAATTAATGAGTAAAGAAGGTATGCCCGGATTATATGCAGCCTTCGCCAATAACAATAAACTGTCAAAGATGTGATGGACACGGATGCTCTGACTATAAATAATTAATCAACAAACGGCAGACATGTTGCAGACTTAGTGGTATAACTGCGACTCATCTTGCAGACATAGTGGTATAACTGCGACACATGTTGCAGACTTTGTGGTATAACTGCCACACTTGTTGTAGATTTATTGGTATAACTGCCACACATGTTGTAGATTTAGTGGTATAACTGTCACACTTGTTGTAGATTTAGTGGTATAACTGCCACACATGTTGTAGATTTAGTGGTATAACTGCCACATATGTTGTAGATTTAGTGGTTTAACTGCCACACATGTTGCAGACTTTGTGGTGTATCTGCCACACATGTTGTAGATTTAGTGGTTTAACTGACACACATGTTGTAGGTTTAGTGGTGTAACTGCAGAAAATGTTGTAGATTTAGTGGTATACCT